AATTTCAGAGGAGGCACTGGGGATTGAAACTGGGACCTCATGCATGCTAAGCACTTAAGAGCTGTAACCTCCTCCCCCTCACCTCCCTTTCTGTTCTTACTTTCCTGGCACCCTGGTTAAAACTCTTGCCCTGAGAATTGCGATGATCTCCTAACTGGTCATCTGCCCTTCCAAACTAATTTCTGCTGCCAGGTTAAATTCTGAAAATGTAATCTTCCCTTGCCCTCAAATCTCTAATATCAGTTTTTATCTCTCTAACCAAGAACAACTCTTTAGTTTGGCATTTAAGAAATTCCTGTGTTAGGACTTCAGTCGACCTTCTTTGGTTTTCTCTTCCACTACTTCTCTAACACCTTCAGGTAAACTGCTTTTTCCTTTTTCCTTTGTTCATCATGTTCCTTCTAACTTCACTGCCTTTTCTCTGCAGTAGTCTCCCCATCCTTCAAGGCCCTCGTGAAAGGAAGCCTGCTGTGTAACCTCATGTGACGCATCCTTCTACACTTCTGTGCCTCTTTAACGGTGCTTAGGGTCTACCTTAGATTGTAGCTGTCTGTGCATTTATCTCATTTCCCTACTTAATTATAAGTGGCTAGAGAGGAATGACACTGTCAAAGGTGGCCCTTTTTGTGTGTTTTGAAACATGTAGCACAGTGATAATTTAATAAGTTGTTGTATTGATTGTTCAAATGGTGGGAGCCTGTTAGGAGGTGAAAAATCAGTTGTCTTCAGCTTCTCTTCTTGTTCACTGGGAGAGCTTCAGGAAATTACCTCCAGGCTTCATTCTCCTTTGGGTCTCCACTCCGTGGCTCTTCACTGGACCTTGGTGTCTGGATGTGCTCCATGTCCTCTGCTCATAACCTGCTGTGCTTCCAGCTTTTTTTCCCCCAATCATTCCCATGCATCGTCTTTTTACCTTATTGGGACCTCTCTATGCCATTGGCTTCTCTCTACGAAAATCCTCAGACCCCTGCTATCTTAACTCAGGCCTCTCCTGTCTTTACTCCCTACCTGTTAAGTTTAGATAATCATCCATTATTTCCTCAACCTTAGTTTTTCCACTTTCTAAGCTGAGAAAGTCTGAACTCCCTTCCTCTTCCTGCTCTTCTCAGGAGTGAGCCTTGCCTCTGAACGCACAGAGAATACCAAAGCCGTCAGACGGTCACTCCCTCCACCTGCTGACTCCACATTCACAGAGCCTTTCTGTATCCCTTCCGGGTCTTTGCTGCTTCATTTCCTTTACAACGGGAGAGCCCTCCTTCCCGCCCTGAGGGCCAGATGCCCCATCAGCACCCTGGCTCGCGCTCACCCTGCCTCCCAGGGACCTTCCACCACCCCATCTCCTCACTGCACTGGGCTTTCACTGAGTGTTCAATAAGAACTGAATAATTTTATAAACAGAAGAAAATCAGTAACAAAAATCTTTTCTGGGTAAGAGTATGGGATTCAATAATTGAAGATTCTAAAAATCTAATTGTTATAGAGAATGTTAATTATCCTGGAAGATTTCAGTGTTTAGTTTTATAAAGATTCCATCTACTCTGAATGTGTTTTATATGGTATAAAATGTTACAGTGCCTGTTGAAGTATAGTTGATGTACAATAGTATGTAAGTTGCAGGTATACAGTACAGTGAGTCACAGTCTTTAAAGGTTATGCTCCATTTGCAGTTATTATTAAAATATTGGCTGTATTCCCCATATTGTGCAGTATATCCTTGTGGCTTATTTTATACCTAATAGTTTGTACCTCTAATCCACTACCCCTGCATTACCCCTCCCCTCCTTTTCTCTCCCGACTGGTAGCCACTAGTTTGTTTGCTTTATCTGTGAGTCTGTTTCATTTCCTGTTATATTTACTAGTTCGTTGTATGTTTTAGATTCCACATATAAGTGATGCCATACAGTATTTGTCTTTGACTTACTTCACTTAGCGGAATGCACTCCAAGTCTGTCCATGTTGCTGCAACAGTCCCTCTTCAGAACAGTATTCTGTCCATTTGGGTGAATTCCACTTCCTTTGATAGATGTTTCCTTTAAATACTCTTTAGAGTTATTCTTGACTTCTTTTTTGACTGTAATTTGAACTTCCTCCTACTCTTTTTCGTAGTTGGAAAACACCTTCAAATCAGTTATTGCACAAATTGGACCTGGAGGGACTATTGATCCAGAACTAAAACATAAGATAAAATTTGTAAGTATTTTCTGTTTCTGGGAAATGGATACGAATAATTGATTACACATTTAGATATCATTGGTGGTTAAGTTTAACTTGCCTACAAGTATTTAAGTTTCATATTTATACCTGACCTTTTCAAATATACTGCAAATGCATTGGCTAATCTTTTAAGATCAGAAAAAAAATCGCATACTCTGAAACATTTTTAATGTTCTCTAAATTATTTCGAAAATATAAGTTCCTCCATAAATTCTGTCTTTTCTTTTTTTCTTCCCCTCAGCCCCAAAAATCATTGTTAACAGTTCAAGGTCTTTCCAACACCAGCTTTATATATATGTATGTCACGTATTACTCTGAACAGTGCATGGTATCCATTATGTGGATACACCAGATTTCGCATATGAGATCTGTTATTGATTAATGTTTGGGTTATTTCTACCCTTGGCTGTTAAAAAATGCTAGTTAATGCCCTTGAACATTTATCTAGTAGTAGAGTTGCCAAAGGTATTGAATATTTTACGTTTTGATAGATATTACTGAATTGCCCTCTAAAAAGTTTGAACAGGTTTACACTCCCACTGACAGTGAAATGTCACCCTTAGTCATGTTTTAACCTGTACATCTTGACTTTTACATTTAGCATCTTTTCATATGCTTAGTAGCCATTTATGTTTCTCACGTCAATTGCCTGTTGATGTCTTTGGCCTAATTTGTTATTTCTCCTTATTAATTTGTGAAAGCTCTTCAGCTATTTTGTGTTGGGCCACAGGGTGTGTACACTTAAAATTCTACTGGGAGCTGTTAATACTGATTTGAATGATCAGTGTCCTTACAACTCTTACTGCCTTATAGTATTCCATTTTAGCTCTTGTGGTTTTATTGAGAGAAATGCAAAAACCTTGGTGCATTCAGGTCCTGTTTTTTGTTTGTTTGTTTGTTTGTTTGTTTAGATGTTTGACTAATTGTCCAACAATTATTTACTTAAGGATGTTCAATATGACATTTTTATGATAACAAAATATTAGAGAAAGACTAAGCATTCATTGATAAAGGACTGGTTAAATTATCCACCCAAACTAGGGAATATCATGTGGCTTGTAAGGAAATTTATGTATAACTCAGTTAACTTCTGTGGAAGTATCTCCTTGACATGTTGGACTTTTAAAAACAGGTTTTATAGAATAGCATGTTTAGTTTTGTTCTTTCATGTAAAATTGTGAATAATGCGAGTATGTGTGTATGTAAAGAGGTTTCTGAAAGGATGTTTTCTGAGATGCAGCAGCAACTGTCTCTGAGTCACAGGATTTTGGAATAATTTTAACTTCATGTTTTCCTGAAGCTTGAAGTATTTTTAATAAAATGTATAATATCTAGAAAAACTGCAAGCTTTTTATACCTTATTGGGATAGAGTAAGTCCACTTCTAGAAATTTATCCTAAAAATATTTGTGCTAGTGAGCAAGGTGCAGGTATGAGGATAATCGTTGGATTATTTGTGATAATGAAAAATAGGAAACAGCCATAGATATCAACTAAATACATTTAATTATATTGAATATTTGAAAACTCTATATATCCAGTAAACATGTTGATCCATGTTTACTGATACAGAAAGAGATCTATGATATGTTATTAAAAAACTGGTTGGAGAAATCATGACATTATTTTTATGTTAAAAAAAGGTATTTTTATATACATACAAACAGCATTGGCTACTATCTATGGATATTTTCTCTTTGCTTAACTATATTTTGCAACATTTTCTATAGTATCCATTGCATTTATTTTCTTCCATTTAAAATGCTGGAAATTATGCTGTAGATTATTTCACATGACCTAAAGCTAAATATGTTAGCTGAGCTAAAGAACTATAGGAATTTCTAGGGAGTTGTGGCATTGCAGTATTATGCAAGAACAATTTCTTAACTCTGGAAATGTTGACAGTCACTGCCTTTTTTAAAACTGGGAACTTTTAAAAAACAGAAACTGTGACTTTAATTCATTCATTCAGTAACATTACTTTTGTCTTTGTTATGTTTAAGTTTATACTGTCTTATTTTGGTATTTTGTTACCCAGCATTCCAGTGGTGTCTTTATATTGTGTTTCATTTTCTATTTATTAGGTTGTATCCAAGTTTCCGGAAGGTTTGCTTATTTCTAAACTGCTTGGAGAGTTTGAGGTGAGTGTTTTCTCTTTCATCGTTTTTTTATGGCTTACTTATGCTTTTCATGATTGATAGAAACTTTTCTGCTATTCCTTGGATCCTCCAAGTCCATGCTCTTGAACTTAAGTCTCTTGTTTTGCATTTTGGTGTCCTCTTCTTTACTAAAATAGTTAAGAATATGGTTCTTAATAAATGCTTGATTAGGCATAAGAAGGATATTGTTATATTGTTGGAATAAAAGTTAATTTATTTTTAATGTCTGATAATACCAAGTGTCAGTGGGGATGTGGAGAAACAGAATACCTCATACATTTCTTGTGGGACAAAACCCCTTTGGAGAGCATTTTGGCAGTATCGGTTTTCTTGAAAATCTACACCTCTCATGATTCAGGAGTCCTGCTTCTGCACATGCCCTTTAGAGAAACTCCTCTAACACATGTGCTCATGAAGACATGCTTAAGACTTGTGCACACTGAAGCATGGTAAAAAAGTGGGAACAAATTAAATTGGCTATCAGTAGGAGAAAGGATAAGTAAAGTGAGACTGACATTTATACAATGGAATAATGTGTATTAGATAAAATAAACGCACTGGATTTAGTTCATCCATGCAACATGGATTGTTTTTGGAACCATCATGCTCAGTGAGAAAAGTCACATTGCAGAATGGTAATTCAGATACTGCCACATACACAGTTTTTAGAAAAGGTAAGTAAGTCCTGTACATATGTTACCCGTGTGCCGGGCTCTGTTCTGAATGCCTTTCATATAGTAGTTCACTTGTTTTCACAACAGCCTGAGGCACAGAGAAGTAACCTGCTTAAGGGTCAGGTAGTCAGTAGTGGGTGGAGCCAGGATTTGAAACCCTGGCAGTCTGGCTTCAGTATCCTAACTCTTAACTGCTGTGCCAGGAACATTATCATATATTCACACATATAGATGCAGATAATGTGAGATGCTAATACAGCATAATGGTTAAGATACATAATTCACATTGTTTTAAAGAAATGACTCTTTTAGAGCCACAGAGTTTATTTCAAGTAGGCCCATGAGACAAAGCTAAAACAAAAGGTCTTGATGGTTTTTGGATTGGTGGGTCAAGTCACTCACTTAATAATGAAATTATAGAAAAAAATTAAAATAGAGTAATAAAGGTATAGAATATGACTTAATCATCACAAAATTCATGGGTAAAAATAAACGTCCTATGCCAGATCCACAACTCAAAGTGAATAGTTTTTTACCACAAACATTTTAGCAAAAGTAGCTTCCTATAATAAAAATTCATGATTTTAAGGTTACAATCACTCTTGAAGAAATTAAAACAAAACTTTTAATGTTACAGGGAAGCTCTTTGCCCTTTGTAGTAAACAGATTTTAGGCAGAATTTTAGCATTATTATTAGAAATATATAATTAGTATAGATTTAGTTTAATGTCTATTCTAACTTGTAGAAACACACTAACCCTTTATCCAACATGATATGAAAACTACCTGTATGATCTGTCCCCTTGAAACATGTGGTCAACAGTCTGCCATTCTTTCAAGATCCCTTACCAAGTTGCTAACTGAAGGGGAGATCGTGCAGCAGCAGCAACATAGTTTGTGGATCTTCCTGAAATTTTACAACGACAGCCAGAGAAACTTGATAACAAGACCAAAAATCCCCAGACCATATTTACAACAAAATTGGGTGATGTGTCTCCCATGAATTATTGTTGGAGGGCAGTCAGCCTCATGATATCAGTGTCTGTGCTAGGAGAAAACAGAGGGAAGCAAGGAAACCAATGTCTCATGGACCTGAGGACAGAAGAGCTACAACATAGCCTGCACATAGTCACTAGAATGTACGGCAAGCCATTTTGAAAACAGCAGCTGAAACTGGATGATATTTTGACCTGTCAAACAGAAGAGCACGTCCGATGGTAAGACTTGAGAGGGGTGGAGCACCACAGCCCCTGTGAACCCTTGAAACAGACCAGCCAGAGCTCCCTCCTTGACAGGACCAGACACTGAAGAGACATTGAGCGGGATACAGACAATAGGAAAAGAGGGGTCCAGGTGTAAGTGGGATTAAGGGGATTAAGGGGAAAGAGCCAGGAAATGTCAAAATCAAGCTACCATGTTTTTAAGCAATCTGTGAAAACAACAGGAGGGGCTCTGTGAAGCAGAAAGCAGCCCAGGATGACATCCTGCAAGCCAGGAAGATGAGTTTCACGTAAAAGGTGCATTAGAGGAGGATCAGGGTCAAATCTCTTCATTGTTTTGAGAAAAAGGAGAAAGTAATAAGGAGCGGAATCAGGCAATGAAAGCATGTCAGAAATACATGTCCCTAAACAGATCAAAACTGAAACCTGCTTTTTCAAAAATGCATGTTAAGAGAGTTACACAAAACATGAAATAACAACATAAGCCTCAATTACATGAATTTGGACATAAAGTAAACAGTTCTCAGGGAAGAATTATAAATAAAAAAATCATTTCAGAAGCAAAGACAAAACTACAAAGATTACAAGGCCAAAAATACAGCCTCTAATGTCCTGAGAAAATCAGTAGATAAAAATGAGGAATATTTTGAAAATCAAAAGGAGAGAAAGGAGGCACTGGGGATCCAGGCATGAAAGGCTCTGTTGCTAAGGTATTTGAAATCTACTTAGAAACTCAGGAATGCAAATAAATTAAGATAGTATTACATCTGAGTAGTCTGTATGGGAACAGTCGTACAGATAACTATTGTAAATTCTGGACAAAATATATAGAATCACTCTGTGAAGGTATTAGAATTGTCCAAAAGCAAGCAGAAGCTGGAAAGGAGCCAGCACCTGGAGGAGTGAATGGCACCTTTTTTATTTGCCTGAATTTTGGCCCAGGGGCAAGCCCTGTACAGTGTTTGGAACTGGAGATTTGGCTAGAAATTAGAAGTTTTACTGGCTTAAGGAACCAGAGGGTAGAATTTGGAGCTATGCAAGCTGCTGAAAAATGAGGGGAGAAATCTTAAGAGTGGAGAGAAGTATATATAGAGAGAGAGCACGTAAGTTCTGCCCAGATCTGACTGACTGTTGAACTGCTAACAGCAGCTTAGTGAGGCTTTAAAGAACTGAAGCCATTTCAGCTGTTGCCCACCACAGGAAGTCAGAGTTTGAGTTTAAGGTTAGTCGGGTTAACTCTCTTCTAAAACTAAGCAAAAAGCAGTAATCTTAGAAGGAGCATAGAAGTTTCCAGAATCCCTACAACTTACCTATTAGGATGTCCAGGATACAAACCAGAATTACTGGATAGACAAGAAACAAGGAAAATGTGGCCCTTGGTGAAGAAAAAAAGTAATCAATGGAAACTGATCCTAAGATGATGCAAATGTTGAAGTTAGCAAAAAGGGTTTTAAAGGAATTCTTAAAACCACATTAAAAAGGATATAAAGCAATATATGTTCATAGTGAATGAACAGATAAGGAACCTCAATGGAGAAGAAGAAACTATAAAACCAAGCAATTTTCAGGAGCTGTAAATAAAATATCTGAAGTAAATTCACTGCAGTATCTTAACAACAAATTGGAAACAGCAGGAGAAGGCATCAGTGAACCCAGGACAGGTCGGTGGAAATGATCCAATCTGAGGAACAGAGAGAGAAAGTAAGTGAAAGTTTTTTAAAGGAGCAGAATCTGAGAGACCTGTGGGACAATTCCAAGTAGCCTAACATATGCGTAACCGTGAGGAGAGAAAGATGGTAAGGCGAGATAATGAAAGCAGAAAAAAAGTTTGAAAAAATAATGGCTGAAAATTTCTGAAACTTTGTGAAAGAGTTTACTGATTTAAGAAGCCCAGAAAACCCCACAAATGCATACAAAGAAAACCTTCACAGGCACATTGTGGTCAAACTGCAGAAAATCAAAAATAATTAGAAAATCCTGAAAGCAACTAAGGAAAAGTGATACATTGCCATAGAGGGGAACCATCTTACAAATGATGGCTGACCTTTCATTAGAAACAATAAAGGCTAGAAGACAGTGGAATGACATCTTTAGAGTACTTGAAAACCCCCAGAACACTCTTTGCCCAATTGTTTATTTCCAGTGATAGAATCTTTCAAGAATGAAGGTAAAATAAAGACATTTTGAGATTATCATAAATGGATAATTAATTGTAAACAGCCCTGCACTGTAAGAAACTCTAAAGAATGCTCTGTAGGCAGAAGGAAAAGATGCCAGGTTGCACTTGAATCTACAGGAAAGATTGAAGAGCACAGGAAATGGTAAATGTGTGGGTATTTATAAAAGACTTTTATCAGTTAAATATATGATTATTTATAGCAAAAATTATAGCACTGTATAATTGGGTTTGTAACCTGTAGGTGTAATACCTGTAGAAGCCATAGCATGGTGAGTGGAGGGGCAGAACATGGAACTGTAGATTGCATAAAACTGTCTTGCATGTGATGTAGTACAGCTAGACTGAAAAGGTAAGGATGTGTAGAAAAACAAATAATGCAGAGTTAAAGTCGTAAAGCCAACAGATAAATTAAAATGGAGTTGTTTAAAATACTCAATAAACTCAAAAGAAGACATAGTTTACTGTTCAGCTGTCTTGCTTGAAAGACAACAAAGGAACGGAGTTTGAGAGAAACAAAATACAGATGGAATCAGCAGAAATGAAATAGCAGAAATGGTAGCTATAAGTCCAATTACATTAATAATTTCATAAATGTAATAGAGTATATATTACAATTGATGAAATGATGAGATGGAATGAAAAGCAAGATGCGACTAAGTGCTGTCTGTAAGAAACATGCTATTGGTAAAAAGACGCAGATTGGTTGAAAGTAAAAGGTAAAAAAGATGTACCATATATTCAGTAAGCATGAAAGAACTGAAGTGACTGACTGAAAGAATGTCAGGTAAAGCAGACTTTAAGGCAAAGTGTATTATCAGAGATAGAGGGACATTTCATAAGGGTAAAGGGTTAATTCTTCAAGAAGACACAATAGTCAAATGTGTATTCACCTAATAATGCTTTAAGATAAATGGTCTAAAAATTAACAATTAATTATGAGTTAGTTCCACAATTACAGGGATTTTCTCCTTATGGCAATTGATACAATAGTCAAAGAAATAAATAAGGTCATAGAAAATTCGAATCACACTTTCTACCACCTTGATCAGTTTGACTTTTATTGAACACTGTACCCAACAACTGCAGAAAACACATTTTATTCAAGTACACATGAAGCATTCACCAAGACAGACCATGTAGTTGGTTATTTTATATTTACATATATTTTCTTGTATCTGTATTTGGTATAGCTCTTTTCCAAGGCAAGAAAATCAAACAGTATACTGTAGGAAATACACAGACACCTGCCTGTTTATCTCAACTTCCAGGGTGAAATAGTAAAATTTTAAGGAAACATTTAAAAACAGTATTATTTTATTGCATGTGAAAAGTGGAAGTGAATGCTCTTTCTCTGAAAAAGAGAGAAGTATCAACAGTTTTATTATGATTTTTGTATTTTGTCTGCCCCCCCCCTTTTTTTTGAAGACTTTCGCTTTATAATCAGACATTTTGAAAAATGACAGGTAAAAATGTCCCCTGATACTCACTTCAATTTGACGTACGCTCTAAAAGGAACTTGACGTTGGCCTGGAAGTTTATGGTGAGGGATTATAGTATCTTGGTTTGTATTATACTTGTTTGGAAGCAAGCGTTTACTGTAATGCCTTAGTTCATTCACCCTGACAAATACAGTTTGGCTAAATACAAATTAAAGCATTGTCTATGGGCATCCGTATATATTATATTCCTGGTTTGTTTTTTTTCACTTTTGGTGACAGGTAACTTTTAAAGAGCAACTTTCACCCAAAAAACTGGGCTTCTTAAATGTGACAGAGCTTGTTGGAGCTCTTAGTGACATTCTCCGTGTTGAGTTCAGGGAAGGAGAACAAGACTTGCTGGTGTTTGATGCTGACGTGAAGCCTCTACCACCTGGTGAGTTGAATTACAGTGTGATGCAAGCCTAATTTTTTGTTGTTGTTCTCTTTTTTCTGCCCTTTTCCAGTTTTGATGCAAACCTAATTTTTAATTGTCTTTGTAAGGACAGGGAAAAAGAAAGCATTGATTATGTACTAGTCTTTATTGTAACTACATCAACTGAACAGATCACACATTAGCCTTTAAAATGTTTTGTGTATAATGACCTCCTTTCTGGTGATGTGTGTTGTAATAAGGCTAACCTGTATTATTAATAAAGACCATCTGAGTTTTTTGTTCACTTTCTTCATTGTCCAGATTTTTGGATAATTCTAAAAAGCAAGATTTTCTGAAATGATGTTCTAAGTGGGGAAGCACTGCATAGTTCAGTGGTTCTTAACTCTGGTTTAGGAATACATGGAGATTTTTAGAAATACATGGAGGTTCAGAATAAATGGGTGTACATTGGGACCCAGTGGGTGTATATTTTTTAAATAAATGTTTTATTTTGGGATAATTTTAGGTTTTTAGAAAAATTGCAAAGATAGTACAAATTCCCATATGCCCTTCATCCAGTTTCTCCTAATACCAACATCCTACGTTGTCATGATATTTTTATCAAAACTAAGAAATTAACATTGGTATGTTGCTATTAACTAAACTCCAGATGTTATTCCAATTTTACCAGTTTTGTTCTTTTTCTGTTTCTGGATATATTCCAGGATGTCACATTGCATTTAGGGCACTTGATTTTTGTTTGATATGTTTGACTTAGTTTTTTTTTTCTTTTGAAATTTTTATTGAGATTGTTGTAGATACACTTGTAGTTGTTAAGAATGAATACCAGGAGGTCCCACACACTCTTTCCTCAATTTCCTTAATGATAATGTCTTGGTTATAGTGGACAGGTTGTTTTTTTTAAACAAAATATAAATGTATCTTTGTTGATTTTTCTGATTATTAAAATAACTTTCATTCTAAAAAATTCAAATAGCTCAGATGAGTAAAAAGTTGAAAGTGAATATTTCTCATCATTTTCCTCCCACCAAAAATGCCATTAGGATTTTTATATAGCCTTCCAGGCTTTTTAAAATGTAAGTGTGAGCGTAGCTACACTTTAAAAGGGATTCTAAAAGCAATATTTGCTTGTTTAAACAATTCCAACAATGCAGAAGTGGTAACTAGTAGTAATAGTTTTAGCAGGGTTTTTTTCCTAGACCACCTCTCTGTAATTATTTACTTGTATGTATAATTTTCTTCCACAAAACAGTATTGTATAAATAGTATATAAGTCCTTGCTTTTTATACTTCATAGAGATATACTTTCATATCAGCATATATACATTTATTTCTTCCTTTTAAACTACATATAATTCTTCTATGTAATGTATTATAATTCATTTAACCAGTCTTCTATTGATGGACATGTAGAGAGTATCCATTTTTATCATTATAAAAAATATAGGGCTAAATCTTTTTGTTCCTACATCTTTGAATAGTTACTAGTTTACTTCTTTAGCAACCACCATGGTTTTATGTCTATCTGGGGTCTTCTTTAATGTGTCAGCCTCTTCTAATCCTCATACACATGTAAATTTGAACAAAATATGTGATTTACTTGGGAATTCCCTAAAAATTAAGTCATAGTATTATGGAATATTAAGAAGTTACATATATTATACATTAAGCAACAGTGCCTGTTCACAGCTAAAATGGAACAGGAAATAAATTGAAATCAGGATGTTGAAAAATAAAACCTTTCACCAAAGTTTAAAAAACCTTATTAGACTTACCTCTCCCTCCCAACATAAATAAGGTAAGGTTTGTTCCCATCTGGAACTTGCCTTCTGTCTCTCTGTGCCGAAAGGTCTGCAGAGACAGGTTCGTGTCTCTCGTGTGGCATTACCTGCCCAGTGCCTGGCAGGTAGAATATGCGCAGTAGCAGTTCACGGAGTATGTTAATAGCTACACAAAAGCTCCTCTGTTGTCATTTCAGATGGAGCTATTTCATCGGCCAGAAATTCATGTTTAGTTCAATCGGATGAGAAAACAGAAGCCAAAGCTGGTGTGTCCAGTCCCCCTAGAAGTTCACTGTCTACTGCTGGTATCAGGGAGACTACATGGGGCTGCCTTTCAAAAAGCCATAAAGAGCCGAGCAGAAGATCTGCAGGAAGCCTAACCTGGTGGTGAAGCCTTTGCAGCTGGTGAGTGGGTTCTGAAAACGTGGTGCACTTCGGAGGGTTAGCGTTATGGAAAGTAACGAGTGAATGTTTCTTTAAACCAGAATCCTGTTTGAGAAAAGTCTTATTTCTGGATGTCTGATTTCTTAGAAGAGACCAGAGCTTTGGTCTGAAGTCACCTTAGGCAGCACTTCTGGTTTCTGGCCGTTTACATGACTAGCTCTCCCTGGGCTGTATGTCAGGGTTTTCACGTGGCTTTGCAGGTGTGGCAGCTGTCTCGTGGCAACGTCGCTGGTCCTCAGTAGGCTTGAAGACCCTCGAGAGCTCCGGCGGGCAGCCTGGGGGAGCGCTGTTGTGCTGCAGGCCCCAGCGCTGCTGCAGCTGGCCCGGCACCTGGCCTCGGCACCTTGTGACACACTTTCATTTTGTTTTTCTCCCTCATTATACCTCCATACATGTGTCTCCCGTTTTGTATTTTCATCTCCTATTAGTTATGTCCTCCTTCATTTATTCAGGAATGAATTGCTTATTCTTCTGCCCTTTACACCTGGACTTTTTCATGGAAGGAAAACATTGTGCGTGGAGACCCTGCTGTATTCTAGAGGGCAACAGAAAGGCCTAAAGGAAAATAATGTATTTTAGAATAAGAGTGTTTGAAAAACCCTGTTTTTGGTTGGAACACTAGTCTGAAGTTTAATCCATTCCTTAAAGTTGCCTTTGTTGGTAGGGCTGGATAGGAAGAAACTGTCTTGGGTCAGCCTAAGCATTTGAAGTACCGTGTTTTCAATTTTGCATCAGGCAGTTGTGTGACATGCTTTTAACTTTGCCTAATATCATAACACGGTACTTTTCATATCTTAATGTAGGTAAGGGTCACCCAGGGAATTTTTTAAAGGCGTAATTGCAGGCCTTGCTTCCAGGTATTCTCAATCAGTGAGTCTGGGCTAAAGCCTAAGAATTTTCTTTTTTTATAATTACCAGGTGATTCTGATAAAGGTGACTCATGAAATATACTTTAATAAACGTTTTCATAGAGTTTGAAATGTCACCCAAAGATTTATAGTGGTTTCTTAGATCTTTTTTTTTTTTAAACTTGCAGCAAGAAGAAATGAACAAATCACAGCTCAGCTTGGCAATGGCAGATCCTGATTTCCCACCAGATGCTGTACGAGACAGGAAGTTATGCAGGCTGCCGCCACTGGACACCAGTACCCTGGTGGGGGTCTTTGTGGAGTACATCATCTCTCCCAGTCAATTCTACATCCGGATCTATAGCCGGGATTCATCAGAGTTACTTGAAGACATGATGATCGAAATGCGGTAGGAGTCTGTTGTTTTCAGTGCATTTTTCATGTATCTCATTCTGAGTCATCAGTTCTCAAACATTTGGCCTCAGGGCTCTTAAAAATTAAGGACCGAAGAGAGCTTTTGTTTATCAACATTATCATACAGAAATTAAAACATCAGAATTTAAAAAATATTGTTTAGAAATGATAAATTCATTGATCTGAATATAAATAACGTATTTTTTGTGAAAAATAACTGTTTTGTGGAAATTGGAAGAATGCATTGTTTTACATTTTTGCAAATCTCTTTAATATCTCGCTTAATAAAGAAGAAAGTAGGATTTCAGTATCTGCTTCTGTTTTTAATTTCTTGAGATACATTGTTTTGGTGGAAGTATATGAAAACATCTGACCTCACACAGATATATGGTTGGGAAAAGGAGTATTTTGATAGCCTTTTCAGAAAACCGTGAATTCTCTTTGATAGTATACCAAAACTTGACGGCGGATAGTTTCTTAAAGTTAGTTGCAGTGTGGAATCTGAACTTTTCAAATTCTACTATATTAAAATCCGTTTTCTGCCTTTGCACCTTGAATGGATCCAGGACTGGCTATGTAATCACAGGCTTCAGTGCAAAATTCAAATGCAAGACTCTTTGCTTAAAAATTATTAAGAATTTCAAGACAGCAGTAACAGAGCATTAAAGTAAGCATAGGGACCTTTTAAGTATAGACTCAATGTGAAACTGGCCCTGAATTTTACTACTCTCTGTGGTTTTGAAACATCGTGCATTAGTCTTTTGGAAAATACTGGTTCACTGAGCTATATAGATCTTCCAAATGTTGACAGGTTTCCTCACACGATGCGTATTAAACAATCACATTTATTAATATCATCACTGATCTCGTCAGAAGAGTGTTAAGTGTTAGGAGACTGCCAAGCTCATGGTGGTGGATTCAGCATTTCCAAAATCCTAATTTTCGTTTGAAAGCTGTTGAATTTTATCATTGACGGTAAGTACTGTCAGTGTTTTCCTTGAAGTGACAGGCTCACTTCATTTTTGAGAAAGTATGTGTCAGATACCCAGGTCTGAATAAACATAGTTTGTGAGTGGACCTTTCAAGCAAAAATGATGTTCCATGAAAATAGGGTCTCTCGTTCACCTTCTGAGTAAAAATAATGTTCCACAAAGAAACACAGCTAGTTCAGTTCACAACTGAAATGCACAAGTGCTTTTCCTTAAGATGACTTCAGAAACATTTTACTTGTACTTCCATTTCTGTTAGAGAATATTGAAAAGATAGTCACTCAGTGGTTGAGATTTAATAAACTTAATTGTTGCTTTATCAAGGACATTCTTAAATGAAATTGGCCTCTTTTCTTTCTTTTTTTATTTAATGTGAATGTGTGGCAGTGACATATAAGTGATTACTAATACAGTTTGATGCCACTGCCTTGATTTAGCAAAGGCACCTGGAGTTTTACACACACTTCCTTCTACACCATCAATGCAAATGTTAACACAGTGAAAAGGGGAAAAAAAATCACTGTTTTCATTTTAATACTAAAATGTTAAAATAGCTTTGATCTTAATGAACTTTTTAAAAGGGTATCAGGGTCCCAGGGTTTGTGAACTTCCCTTGGAGAACTGCTGCTCTAAATTACCTTTTCTCTACTGAAACCTGATGTCCTTTGTTAGTAAACATCGTATAAAATGTTTACATTTTCAGTCGCTTTAGATTATTCATGAATAACAATATCTGATTTTTACATTGATATCACATGTAAGACTATTTTACATCTCTCCAAAAGCATTCCATGTTTTTTCCTAAGTTAACCACATTGTATACTCATCTCCCACCCAAGAACACCTGGCATAATGTTACATAATCATCTCTTAGTAAGTTTGTATTTGAAGAAGTTTGTTGATAAAGGGAAGGGATTTGGATAAAAAAATTAATTGGTATTCATAATAAGCACTACCAGATCAGAAAAAGAGAGGATTTTTCCCCCCCTTGCTTTGTGCCAAGACTGTCCTGCTTTTGACGATACGTCAGTAAAAGTGGTCTTTGATCTTCCACCCTCTGCGGGTTTCTCTGTGTGCCGATTTCCACAGGCGCTGCTATTCGAATCAGCTGGTCTCTGATCGATACACCATGCCTGAGCATTTTATCCAGCCGGGGCATCTCTGCTGTGTAAGGATTTCTGAGGATAAGTGGTGGTATCGGGTCGTTATCCATCGAGTTCTTGGGAAGCAGGAGGTTGAAGTGTTCTACCCAGACTTCGGAAATATTGGAACTGTTCGGACGTCCTCCCTGAGGTTCCTCAAGTGAGTCAGTGAGTTTAATGAGGACCGCTGAAGCCCTGCGGGGTTAGGGTCTCTCTTCCTTTTCTCCTGCTTCCCTCCCTCCATCCTACCTGCTTTCCACCCCTCTTCCTTCTTAGTGCAGGGCTGGCAAATGATCGCTTAGTTTCATAGCTGGATCATAATCTCTTGGTCTTCTTTCACATGGCTGTGAATCTGAATGGACCATGAGAATAGATTTCAGTCTCTTATTAAGACAGTAATTCTTTGGCTCATGCTGAGAGGTGCGTTTGTAGGCATAAAGGTTGGGCTGTTCCTGTCTGTATTTTAATTGCATGGTTTTCAAAGATGATTATGTTCTACAGTTTCATTTCTCTGATTGCTATAAAGTGTAAGACATTAATTTTCAAATGCATGACTAAAATGATCTGAAATGGTGTGAAAAGCTTAAATCAAGAAATGGATAAGAGATTCCATAAAGTGCAGTTTTAAAGTATGATTAGATATTTATATATATGATCATCTGTTGCAGGTGCTGCTACACAAAGCTTCCAGCTCAGGCTATCCCTTGTTCTTTGGCTTGGGTGAGACCAGTGGAGGTATGTTTGCTTGTTTTCCATTTAAACATTTGATGCCAAGAGCAATTGTAGGTTCTCAGGATAGAAAAATAAAACATGGAATGAGCCCTCAAAGAAGTCATTGTAGATAGTATGGAAGATAGGCCTGTAGAGAAAAATAATTGTACTGTGTTGTATTTGCTAAAGAATTTTACAGCGTATGATCAAGGTGCAGAAGGAGGAGTGCTCATCTCTGTTCTGGGTAATCAGAGAAGATCCCGTAACAGAGGTGGTGTTTGCACGACACTTTGAAGGAAAATTAGCACTATAACTGGACCGACAAGAGAAGGACATTCCAGTCAAAGGGAGCGTAGCATGAAATATCTGAAATTTGAGGAATTTTAAGTGATTCTGTTTGGCTACGTAGTAGAAAATGAGCTGGAATTGGTGCATGGCAAATGATGTCAGAGAAATAGATAGAAAATTAAGGGGAGACCCTTACCCATGTTCAGGAATCTGGAGGCTGTCCTGTAAATGCTAGGGTACATCTAAAGGGTGTTCATGGGAATCAGATATGTGTCTTGTAAAGAGTTACCCAGTG